CCCCGTTTCCGGTCGGGGGGGGGAGGGGACGACTCCCCCCCCCCCGCCCCCGTCTCTTTAAGCCCCTCCCCGGGCCGGCCGCAAAAACCTTGAATGAGCCGCTCCGCCCCCTGAGAGGGATCATTTGCATATGCATGAGCGCCCGGTGGGGCGGGGCCTGGGGGGCGGAATAAAATCACTCCCCCCCATCCCCCCCCACGCCGCCTTGCTTTGCTCATCCTTAGCTGCAGAGCCGGGCTGGAGCAGCATCTCCCGGGTGTAGCTACGTATCCAGCGCCCCCCCGCCTGCCCCGCAGCGCCTTCCTCGGTCAGGGGATCTAGGGGCCCTTCCTCCTGCCCCCCAGTTCCGCAGCAGCCCCCACACCCCATCATGGCTATCGAGAAGGAGAAGAAAACCTGCGGGCAAGTCATGGCGGAGTGGCGAGAAGGCATCTGGAATCCGCGCACCCACCAATTCATGGGGCGCACCGGCACCAGCTGGGGTACGTGGCTGGTCTGGGGGGGCTGGCTCTGGGGCAGAGCCGGGGGTTGGGGGGTGAGCCCTTGAAAAGCAGTGGAAGTGTGGGGAGGGTTGGGGGGGCGCTGATCTAGGGGGAGAATTTGGGGTGTCGCTAGCTAATGCCCGTAAAAGGAGGGGGCTGGGGGGAGGTTGTTATGGGGGAGAATTTGGGGGGTCGTTAGCAGGAGCCCTTAAAAGGAGGGGGATTGGGGGGAGGCTGATCTAGGGGGCGAAATTGGGGGGTCGTTAGCAGGAGCCCTTAACCCTCCCCAACCCCCTCTCTTTTTATCTAACTGGGGGTGTCCGGAGCAGGTTATCTGGGGGGATTCTTGGGGTTTCCTTGAGGAGCCTGAAAAGGAGGTGGATTTGGTGGGGGGGCTGTTTGGGGGGGGACAGATCTCTAGGAGGATGGGCGGCGTCATGACCCAAATTCCCATAGAAAGTGGAGTCGTTGGGTGATGTCTGGGGTGTATTTTTTTTGGGGGGGCTGTTTGCCTTAAAATGGGGGGGAGTTATTGGGATGAAGGGGGCTAGGTTCCGAGCCCGTCTAAGAATGGTGGCTGTTTGGGGGTGTTTCATTGGGGGGTAAATTATCAAGACTACAGGGGAGTCCTTGCTTGTGACCCCCCAAATGGGGTTTCTAGTGAGGGGGTGCTGTAGAGAGGGAGAGATGAAAGGGGGGATCATCAAGGGGTGTCATGGCCGGGGGGAGAGAAATCAGGTGAAGGGTTTATTGGGGAGTTGAAATGGGGGTGCAGTGTCCCCCCCAAATCCTAAGCAACAGGGAGGAGGAAGGGGAAAGGATAGGGCTGTGGGGGGGGCTGGCAAGGGGTTATGGGGTGTCTGTGGGGTCATGCATCAATGAGGGGGCTCTATTTTCCCTTTCCCCCCCAGGAAAGAGTGGGGTAGATGCAGGACTAGCATTTCCCCTAAGGGAGCAGGAAGTGGGGTGCCTTGGAATATGGGGTGGGGGGAGCAGGGCTGATGGGGGGCAGGAGTAGGGCTGAATTGGACTGGACCAGCTCAGATCCAGGTCTGGGATTCTTGGGGTGTGGGTGTGAAGGAGCAAATGTGGGGGGCTCTGTCCCCCCCCCAAAATTCAGCTCCCTTATCTATGCAGTACTGGGGGGTGATGTGGGGCAGAGACGGGGCTCGGGGCCCAGGGCTATATAGGGGCAGGGGCTGTGTGGGGGGTAATGCCCTCCCCGCCCTGTCTCTATCAATCCCCCGGGGGCCCCCCCCAGTTTCATGGCGCTGCGGCGGACTAGCCGGCTGGGAAAGTAGGTCAGTCAGCTTTCTGTAGGAGCTGGGTGAGTCTTCGCCC